GGTCTGTATCACCTACATAGTGTTTCATATAAGTACTGAGGCATTAAGCTTTTATACCTTTGTGAATATTTATCAATATCTTATTTTACATAAAAGGCCGCAGAAAATTATACTCACAATAGCACAGGAGCTATAAAGTCTATAAACATCCGTGGTGGCAACCATAATATAAACAGAAAACAACCAGAGCAAACAACACTGCCCTCGATATTTAGTGGGGCAAGTCGTTCGCAAAGTTTGCCGGCTATTATTATTATTATTATTAGTTTTATTATATGATTGCCACCACCGTTATTTATAGGAATACGGCTCAGGGTACTAATCCATACTATTCTGAGTATAATTCTCTGCGGCCTTTATGTAAAATAAGATATCGATAAATATTCAAAGGTAAAGCTTAATGCCTCAGTACTTATTTGAAACACTAAGTATGTATAGGACATACAACCTGGTTTATAACGTTTCGCTAGTCGAGCTCTATTCCGGCTGCGAGAATTGCTCCTGGCCTCTGGGTGCATTCTCTTTTAATGTCCAGCCCCCCCCCCCCCTCCAATAGATGAATTTTTTCGCAGGGTGTCCCCAAAGTCGTTTCTGAGGGGTTAAGCCTGTTGGCATCTTTTGATGTATGCGATTTTTCTGAGGCGTAAGGGGAAAATTTACAAATTTCTGAAGGGGGTTTGTGTCGGCATTTCGATCTTTTTTTTTAGAGGTTAAAATCTTACTGACCTTATCCATAGAGCAGGGATGGATATTAAATGCAATGACCCTCTGTTAATACGGACCAAACTGCTCCTTGCACAGCTCTAGTTATTGCTTCTTCCCAGCAACGTTCACCACTCGCCATAATTCACCCTTTTTATAAATTAAAAAAAATCGAATGCAAGCAGAATTCTTGGCTGCTGAAAGCGCAAAACGGAGGAAGATCGATTGTAATCGAAGAGATTTGTTTGCAACCTTCGGTCCATGAGTGCCGGCCCAAATCTACTAGTGGATATGGACAGGGGGTCCGAATCTACGGGGGTTCAATCAACTGGGATACCGGAGGTTTCAAGTTACCGGACGTTTGAGTTATTATAAGGTTAATTGATTTTTGGACAGTTTTAATTTTTGGACAGATGGCGCACTACGCTATTGCATTATATCAAATAATGACTTTTCGGCGCTGTTTCCTTATATGATATAATGAAAAAGTTCTTTTACATGATATCATATCATGAATCAACTGAAAAGTCATTATTTGATATCATAGTGTAATGCATTAGCATTATATCAAATCAGGACTTACACAAATGCTTATGATATCATATAATGATTTTGTCGAAATGTCATGATATGATATAATGATTTTGTCGAAATGTCATGATATCATATCATGACTTTTCGGAAGTTCATGATATGATATAATGCTTAATGTTGATAACATTATATCAAATAATGACAAAAACGAATAAGTCATGATTTGATATAATGTCTGTTCGTTTATCAATTATTTATATATAATGACAGTTTTAGTCATGATATGATATAATTTAACACTAGAAGTTACTATCGCAAGGAAAATGCTGCCTCAGACCCAAGGGATTAAAGGCAGCATGCACAATTTGCTGAATAAGGGGCTGTTTATATGATCCCGCTTTGCCAGGAGATATGAGGCAGGATAATTTTGATGTGCTTAAATAAATCACGATGCATGATTCAGCAAAAAATTTCACTATTTTCTCGAGATGGATTACAGTATAGTTAGTAACTGTAAACGAAAGGTTGCCTGTTCAAGCATAATATAACCTTCTTGAACCACAAGATCTTCTGTACATTTGAACTACTTCTCTACATTTGAGCGTTTGAACTTTCGTTTAGCCTAGTGACGAATACTTTAATACATCAATATCATCCCTTCTTCCATCATGCAAACAACCCTTAAGATGCCTGTTCAGGAGGTAGGAAAAGTGCAATTTGAATATCAAACATCTTGCACAAAGTCGAAGGGCGGCTGAAAGTTCTAATTCTATTTTCTTGGCACGGGCGGTTTTATATGAATATCTTCAATGCTTGTAACGTCTTGCTGTTGTATAATTATAATACTGTCAGTGGTGAAGCTAGCCATAGCAACAGGTCATGCTATGCAAGTTTTTAATGATTTGCATTATTCAAATAGATGCAGGTTTATCAGTATAGCATGCATACAGTATGGCCAGTTGCCATGGCTAGCTTGCCACTGAATACTGCACAATGTTTAAATGTACAGGTTTGAATATTTTACAGTAATAAATTTACGTGGTGTTTCCACAAACAAAACTATTATATATTTTATCGCCATGCAAACATGCATACAAAGAACTTATTATGTACAATGTTTATATAAAAATACTAAGGGCCTGTTTACATGGAGGCGAGTTACCCGGCAAGGCGAGTTACTCAGCAATGGCGAGATCCCGGCTGTTATAGAAACTAATATTAATCCCGGGTGACTGTTTACATAATGCAGCCGAGTAACTCGCCTTGGTGAGTTCCCGGCAGAAAGAGGCGGGATCTCACCTAGGTCAGATGAATATTTTCCATGTAAACACTTTGCCCGGGTAACTCGGCCACCCAAGATAGAATGTATGTGCTTTGCCATTGCAATATAATAGCTCAAAAATACATACAAATCGATAGATAACTTTTCCTGAATTGCTCGACGCTTATTCTTGTACTTTCACTATATTTTGTAATGTTTTTAGCATTTCAGACGACTTAGATCCTTTTTCTGTTTGGGTGCCATTTCGGCGTCGTGCGGCAAATATCATGCGACAAATGCCGAGTAACTCGGTTTCATATAAACAGAGCCCTTTGTCCCGACTGGGCGAGTAACTCGCCTTGCCAGGTAACTCGCCTCCATGTAAACAGGCCCTAAGTCAGGGTTTGTTCCAATTATTGTTTTAATGCCACCTTCAAGGCTGCCCATATCACAGAACAACGGAACAATATGCTGATCAATGGGGAGACAATATCTATTTGTTGACATTGCTAATTGTGAGCATTATCGAAAAATATAATACACTGTGAAATGTAGTGACACAGCCAGATGAATATATTATATATATGAATGCAGGCTGGTAGGATTATTTCATATTATGCTAACAATAAACACACAGTCATCAAAAATCAGTTGACATACTATTACATGTAATCATATTGCTGGTATAAAGTTAATATGTGCAGAGAACAATCCACACTGGGTTGCTCTAGGGATCTTATCACAGTAAGCCTGATTTAACAACATTCCACGTTTGTTGTTAAACTATAAACATCTAGAAATGAACACTATACTCATCGTCTTGGCACATAACAAACAAATATTAAAACTGAGTACATTAATTGTGACTCGTAAAATAAGGCATTATTGACGAATAGATCTGGTGGGCTATTAGACACTGCCAGTAAATTCATGAAATACTTCAGAGCTCTTAAGTACATCTTGTCTCCTTGTATTTATAAGACATTATCAAATGTTCTAAACGACCATGCGGACAATGGGAATATTAACTCATGACATAAAAGCACATTGCTTGCCTCCAGAATGAACGCTAAACAATTCATGGCCTTGATGGATATTAGCACAAAGAAATAAAGCCATACTTACCTGGTTTCTTCGGGAAATGTTCGTATATTTATTATTTTGCATCAAGTCAGATCTGATCAGTCCAGAATAAGTTTGCATTTAACAAATATAAAACATTTTCCGTGTTGATATCAGGTTGATATACAGTTATATCAACACGAGTGGAAATTGGGAAAACGAGAAATTGTGTGGAAACACGACGCCCGAAGGGCGGAGTGTTTTCATACAATTTCGAGTTTTCCCAACTTCCACGAGTGTTGATATAACTATATATCAATACGGAAAAATGTTTTATATTTTTTTTATAATATAGCAATGTCAAAAGCCCGAAGAATAAGAAAAATTTCCGTGTTTACAAGCGGCGGAAAATTTCCCGTGTTGACATGGAGTTATATCAACACGGCTCTTAGCCAATCAGCGTTCAGAATTTACAAATGCTATATTATAAATAACCATATAAACATGTGCACGCGCAATTTAATATTTTTCTCGCACTCCCCCCGTCCGTTCCCCCCCGGAAATACGACATCTTACCGGACAGACACAAATCGAGATCTCGACAATACATAGATCGGCGCGAAAGACTGGGTCGAGTGAACTCTGGAGAAACCTTCATGTCAAGATTAGGAGTGCTGCCTTCGGCAGCAATTATTACTTACAGGGGGAAAATAGCTAAACATGATACCATCCATATGAACTTCTGCCGTCTTCCACAAAATTCAGCAATCTTTTAGTCAGATTTAACAGTTTACTGCAAATTTTGATATTTTCTGACCCCCATAATTTTTTTGGACTCGCTCTTTGGAGCCCCTTGCCCAGAGAAGGAAAAAAAAATTGTTTGCGGCCCTGCTTTTGGAGCCTCGCTTTTTAAGCTTTGGGGCCTCGTGTTTTTTTTATTTCGGGGCTTCGCTTTTAGGGGCCTTGGACTCTTTGGGGCCCCGCGCTGTTTGGATCCTGCGCTGAAACAGGAATAAAAAAAAACGTTTCAGGCCCGGCTATTTGGGACCTCGATTTTTAAATTTTGGGGCCCTCGCGTTTTCTGGGGGACTTGAGCTCTTTAGGGCCCCGCACTGGCGCACTGTTTGGGTCTCGCACTGAAACATGGAACAAAAAAAAAATCCGAAAAAAATAGAAGAGAGTAAGCGCGGGGCCCCCAAAAGCGCGGGGCCCGTGGCATATGCCGCTTCTGCCATATGGTTAATCCTGCACTGAATTAATGTCTCTAGTTAACCCATTAAGCCGCAATGTGCCCCAGTGCACCCTCCTTATTTTTTTACTTGTCTAATGCCAAACGATTTTACTCGTCAATGGGGAAGCTCTGCAGCTTAATTAATGGGTTACTAAGAAGTTAATAATAATATTAAAAAATTATAAATATTATATTAATTAAAATATAATATTTTAAGTACTATTTAAAACATGAGGAGGAGTGTTTTATCATATTTAAAATGCGATTGAGCAGCACTAGCATTTTAAGTATGATAAAACACATCTACAAGTTTTGACTTTTGAATAGCTTCAAACTGTCCTATTAGTATTCTTTATATAAAGAATACTAATTATGATGGACTTTTATATAAAGAATACTAATGAAGATAAGTTTTAGCAGTTATAAAGCCTCTTCACATGACATATTATGGTTGACATGATTTACCAATAAGCTTATAGAATATTATAATATTATTAAAATATTTGCCGGTTTACACGAGCACATGAAATCAGATTCACTTTATATAAGGTTCCGCATTTCGGCATTTGTATGACACCACCTGCATCATCACTTGTAGCTTTATACCAACTCGAACAGGTTGTAGTTTGTTAAATAATTCAAAATTGATTGTATATAATTGTATGTATCTTTAGTAGAATTTGTACGGATTTACTAAATTGTTCAATAGGAGTTCCAACTAGATTTCAGCCAGCCGGAAATTGATGTCACGACCTTTCATTATCATATTCATATTTCCAAGTATTGTGAATAATCAAGGTGTTGTTATTGTCAATCCAAAGCGAAGGCGGAAGTGTTTAAAAACCTCGTCTGTTTCTTGCTCTCGATTTATTTGCTTTACAATGTGAGATAAATATGTGAAAGAAAGATCATTGGTATCGAATCTTTAACTAGAAAGTGACGCAATGTTTCTATGAGCTATGAAGCATGGCTCGCTGCCCGACCGAAGAGAAATATGGCTACGAAGACTGTCGATTTGAAAAAGATGTCGACGAAAATTTTCATTGTTCTATCTGCTACAATGTTCTTAAAGAACCAAGGACGTGTAGGAATAATGATCACATCTTTTGTCTTGCCTGCATCACTCAACATCTAAAGGTGAACTCTCAAACTTGTCCTGAATGTAATGAGCATTTGAGCGTCCACACGCTTCGTCGGCCGCGTGTGTTGAACAATTATTTGTCTAAACTAAAGATAAATTGTGATCATGCCAGTCGGGGATGTCCTCAGTTTACCTGTCTTGAAAATCTCAAAACTCACGTGGCGAATTGTGGCTATGCAAAGTGTGCTATAGTTAACAAACAAGATAAATTTGAAGTTTGTGGGTATAGGAAAGTGAAATGTAGTGACTTTGGGCAGATGCAGGAAGATGTCGGAATATTGAAAGGAAATTTAATGGAACTGAATGGCAAAGTGGAACAAGCTGTGAAAGGAATAAAGAAGTTGGGCGAAAAAGTGGAAGCAATGAAGGAAATAAACGAAAAAGTGGAAGCTGCAAGTGGAGAAATGAAGAAGGAAATCGGGGAAGTTAAGAGAGAAGTCAAAGATATGAAGAACAATTTTTCAAAAGTGAACAAAGACGTGGACGAAGTCAAAGTCATGATGATTCAAATGCTTGAACTGCTGAATAAACTGCCATCTTCGACTGAGGGAATGTTGAACACACCAAGAGAGGATATTTTGATTGCAGGTGGATATGGAGGACCTTGGAGTGAACCTGGCCAAAGTACGGAAGTTTATTCCTGGGAGAAAAATGGTTGGTTTGAGGTGTCGCCAATGAATGACGACCATGAAGGAGCTTCGTCGTTTATCTATAAAGATCAGTTCTTTGTTGTCGGGGGAGCAGACAGTAAGGCAATAGAGACCTTGAATCTCGATGAATTACCTTTGAAATGGACGAAATTTCTTGGGGAACTGCCTTATCCGTGTGATGATCATCAAATTGTTGTTTACCAGCAGAGTGTCATTCACATTGGTGGATTTCGATATGGCAAACGATGGTCTAACGTGATTAGTGAATTGCAACTTACTTTGCCTTGCGTTATGAAAGAGTTGTGTCAAATGCCTCAACCACGAGGGCATCATTCCGCTGAGGTACTTGAAGATAAAGTGCTGATTTTAGGAGGATTTAACTCCGTCAAGATTACAAACAGTGTATTGGAGTTTGATCCAAAAAGGAATGAATGTAAAGAGATGCCAAAATTACCGTCTGCCTTGAGGAGAATGGCGACAGTTGGCTGGAGGGATGAAGTAGTTGTGCTTGGAGGTCGTGATAAGGATGACCAAATTCTGAATGATGTTTTCATGTACAACTCCAAGACTGGCAAGACCACAGCCTTACCATCCATGTTGGAGAAGAGAGATGGATGTTGCGCAGTTATTACTGGAAATACTATTGTAGTGATGGGAGGTAGGAATGAGAAACGTCAATATCTCAGTTCAGTGGAGTGTTTTACAATGGGAGGTTCTACATGGGAGTATCTTCCTGCCATGAACAATGCCAGGTCCAGAGCAGTTGCTGAAGTTTTACCTTCCGCACGAAAATATGTGTAAATTGGACATTGAGACAATCATAAGACGTTAATTCATAATTAGATTACGTTTTCGGACACAATCACATGGTTCAGCTATGCTGGATTGAGTATAAGTTGTGTTTTTGTTTGCAAATTGTCAGATTGGACCATATGCGTACAATGAGCACTCCCCGACACTTTGTGAACCAAAACACAATTGGTTAGATTCATCATTGCCATTAGTTTAAACCAAGATTTTGAGATAAACCAACCTCTATTAGATACAGTACATAATGATCACACATGCCCATAAAATAATATTAATAATGTAATAGCATTAAACATTTCCACATACTCCAGATTTTACAGATTGCAGCTTTTCTCACTCCAAGTTTTACAGATTACAGCTTTTCTCACTCCAGATTTTACAGATTACAGCTTTTCGCACTCCAGATTTTACAGATTATGGACCTTTTTCACTCCAGGTTTTACAGATTACAGCTTTTCTCTCTCCAGATTTTACAGATTACAGCTTTTCTCACTCCAGATTTTACAGATTACAGCTTTTCTCACTCCAGATTTTACAGATTACAGCTTTTCTCACTCCAAGTTTTACAGATTACAGCTTTTCTGACTCCAGATTTTACAGATTACAGCTTTTCTCACTCCAGATTTTACAGATTACAGCTTTTCTCACTCCAGATTTTACAGATTACAGCTTTTCTCACTCCAGATTTTACAGATTACAGCTTTTCTCACTCCAGATTTTACAGATTACAGCTTTTCTCACTCCAGATTTTACAGATTACAGCTTTTCTCACTCCAGGTTTTACAGATTACAGCTTTTCTCACTCCAGATTTTACTGATTACAGCTTTTCTCACTCCAGATTTTACAGATTACAGCTTTTCTCTCTCCAGATTTTACAGATTACAGCCTTTCTCACTCCAGATTTTACAGATTACAGCTTTTCTCACTCCAAGTTTTACAGATTACAGCTTTTCTCACTCCAGATTTTACAGATTACAGCTTTTCGCACTCCAGATTTTACAGATTATGGACCTTTTTCACTCCAGGTTTTACAGATTACAGCTTTTCTCTCTCCAGATTTTACAGATTACAGCTTTTCTCTCTCCAGATTTTACAAATTACAGCCTTTCTCACTCCAGATTTTACAGATTACAGCTTTTCTCTCTCCAGATTTTACAGATTACAGCTTTTCTCTCTCCAGATTTTACAGATTACAGCCTTTCTCACTCCAGATTTTACGGATTACAGCTTTTCTCTCTCCAGATTTTACAGATTACAGCCTTTCTCACTCCAGATTTTACAGATTACAGCTTTTCTCACTCCAGATTTTACAGATTACAGCTTTTCTCTCTCCAGATTTTACCAATTACGGACCTTTTTCACTCCAGATTTTACATATTACGGACCTTTTTCACTCCAGGTTGTACAGATTACGGCTTTTCTCATTCCAGATGTTACAGTTTACGGGCCTTTTTCACTCCAGATTTTACAGATTACAGCTTTTCTCACTCCAGATTTTACAGATTACAGCTTTTCTCACTCCAGGTTTTACAGATTACAGCTTTTCTCACTCCAGATTTTACAGATTACAGCTTTTCTCACTCCAGATTTCACAGATTACAGCTTTTTTCACTCCAGGTTTTACAGATTACAGCTTTTCTCACTCCAGATTTTACAGATTACGGACCTTTTTCACTCCAGATTTTACATATTACGGACCTTTTTCTCTCCAGGTTTTACAGATTACGGCTTTTCTCACTACAGATGTTACAGTTTACGGGCCTTTTTCACTCAAGGTTTTACAGATTACAGCTTTTCTCACTCCAGATTTTACAGATTACAGCTTTTCTCGCTCCAGATTTTACAGATTACAGCTTTTCCCACTCCAGGTATTACAGATTACGGACCTTTTTCTCTCCAGGATTTACAGATTACTGACCTTTTTCTCTCCAGGTTTTACAGATTACGGCTTTTCTCACTCCAGATTTTACAGATTACAGCTTTTCTCACTCCTGATTTTACTGATTACAGCTTTTCTCACTCCAGATTTTACAGATTACAGCTTTTTTCACTCCAGGTTTTACAGATTACAGCTTTTCTGACTCCAGATTTTACAGATTACAGCTTTTCTCACTCCAGATTTTACAGATTCCAGCTTTTCTCTCTCCAGTTTTTACAGATTACAGCTTTTCTCACTGCAGATTTTACAGATTACAGCTTTTCTCACTCCAGATTTTACAGATTACAGCTTTTCTCACTCCAGATTTTACTGATTACAGCTTTTCTCACTCCAGAT